CAAAGAAATACATTAATTTTGATTTAATTAAATCCAACTCCTAAAGCATCTACAATTTTTTTAATTGTAAAGCATTTCAATACTTAATAGTAGGCATTAAATTTTTTTTTAAAGAGACATTTGAGTCATTAAAATAAATTCACACACATATTAGCTACCAATTACCGATAGATCAAGATGAGCTAAACATTGAACCCTTCACATATGCGACAAGGAAAGGAACATACTAAATTTAAATGATCTTAGTGCTTTATAATTACATGATTTTATACTCTCTTTTTCATTTTGATTAATGCATATGCACTTTCAAGACAAGGAAAGGGTCAGAAGGATTTTTTTAACCTCCATGCCATAATTAAAATAAGCCTATTTTGTTGTCGATTTAGAGCAAGCCAAACCGAAAGTGGAGATTTTTGTGGTTCCCCATTGGGATAGAAACCCACTATTGAAATTAATAACTATGTGATTAGTTTGGCATAATTTGTCTTATTGGTGTCTAATTCTTCCATGTCATTAATGCAACCAAAGCCTCCATTGCTGTGACTCTTCCAATAAAAGGATATTTCCATGCCAAAACTCCTTTTTTTAATTTTTTTTTTAAATAATAGGTTAGGAATTAGGATTCTATACAAAATATCAATTAGAATAAATCTAAAAATTATTAAATTTATTTTGAGATGAAAATTATATAAAATTTGATTAATTATATATACATTGCTCTTATCTCAAAATTATTTTATAGAAATGTCAGATCATTCTTATTAATTAAGATATTTAATAAGGAAAATTTGATATTTATTTATATATGAATCTTTAAATCACATTAAAATTTTGTGCATTATATATATATTTTTTTAATATATTTTGATGTCACAGAGATATTAAAGTGCTATATAAGTAAATATCAAAATTTAGCAGCTAGATATGTAAATACATAAAAATTGTGTGGTATCTATATAAATCCTTTTAAATTTAATAATTTTGAGATTCATTATAATCAAATTTTAATTAGAATGGTTTGACCTAAACTTTTTTATATTTCTATATTTAATTTTTAGAACAAATAAATTTTCTAAGAAAAAAACTAGATCATAATATTATGATGAATTTTAAAAAAATGATGTTACATTTTTATTACATTTAAATGGCATATAAATAACATGTTACAATGCATGATTTACACCATTAAAAAAAATGCCTTGATATTTTCGACCTGACTTGCCGAGCCAAACAATTATAATATTATTTAATTTACATTACTCTTTCTATAAAAATAGCTATATTTTAGTTAATAAACAGCTATATGCATGTCATTATCTTAATTGATTTTATAAGCATTTTAAGATAAATAATTATTTTTTTTGGGAGAAAAGATATATAGGCTTTGTTTGTTTGAGCGTTTTTTTTTTACTTTTCTGTTTGGAAACAGAGGATTTTTTTTTTTGTTGTTGTTGTTTGGTTCATCAAATCACGTTCTCAATAACTCCATTTTTTCATTTTTATGCAATTTTGAGAAAGCTTTTTATATATGCTTCTCCGTTAGAAAATTCCATTTTCTGAACTAATGTTTTTTAAAACTGTCTTTTACAAAAGCACAAAAAAAAAAAAAACAAACGAAGCCATAATTTAAGCCAAGTAAAATTTTTATATATATACGCATTAACTGTGTTAGATTAATTAAATTGGATGTTTATGTAAGAACAATAATAAAATTTTTTTTTTTTTTTTTTGTGGATGGCTATAGCTTTTAAAAAGATTATTGTAAAGTTATTATATGAAAATTAGCTTTTTTGAAAGCTAGTATATAAAATAGCTTCCTAGCACAAAATTTTTTTGAAAGTAATGAAAAAGTAGTAGCTAAAAAAGAGATGCGGCTGAGGTCTAAAAAATAAACCACTAAGAAAATTATCTCAAACAGACTCTTTATTTGTGACAGTTTTTTGACTATTTTTGTGATAAGAAAAACAGTTAGTGAGAAAATAATATGTTTAGAAGATATATTTTTCACTGTTTTTTTTTTTAACTTTTATCTTTAAAAATTTGTGTTTGAAAAAAGAAAGCTTTAAAACTATGGCGGAAAAAGGAGTCGTAAAAATAGAAACTTAATAGCTTATGCTTACCCAAGCAAAACTAAGGGTCTATTTGAGGAACAATTATTACGTCCTTTGACCGAATGGTTTTATAGGTTCGGCCACCAATAAATTCACGCCACGTAGCAGCCCGACAACCCGACCCAAACCCGCGGGTTTTGGATATTTGACGTTCACCGGACTAAATAATTGTTCCTATTTGAGATAGTTGCTCTTTTTATGAATGTAGTTGTGAAGTTGTTGCAGTATAAACGGTTGATAAATAACTTTAAGTAGCGAAACCATAGAATAACTTTAAAGTCTGAGCATTGGCATATTAGACTGATTAAGGAAATCATGGAGACGACCCCATTTGGTATTGATAAATCACAATGGTATCAACTAGTCACACTATGGTCAAAGCCAGAAGATCAAGTTAATACCTAAAGTTATCATAATTGTAAATGTTGGTTTTAACTTTATCATGTGTCATACCATATGAGATAATTTATGCAACAATACCATATGCATATCACCCACCCCTAGAAAGCTCGATCACAAATGATATTTAAAAGAATTAAGCTCAAATTTTAATATAGATGTTATTATTATTAGAATCTTAATATTATTTGCAAGGTGACAATAAGAATTCATCTCTGATGGTTGGCATTCTAAGGGAAAGAGCCCCATAGTATATTAGCTTTGTTTTTTGAATTTAAGTGGTTCTTATGAAGTTTATCCTTGTATGCATGTTCTTCTATTTTTGAACTTCAATTGCTTTAGTTTGGTGGAAGATTAACTTTAATCAAAGTCTTATTAGCTGATTCAAAATTCGGTCTTGTTAGTTGTTTGCTCACATAGCTTGCTGTGTTAAGTTTGTTTTCTTGTTTACTCACTGAAATGAAAGATCTCTTCCTTCTAAGTTCAATTATAAGAATAATAATTAAGTGGAGTGGGGGTGTCAATTTTTGACACGACCCGAACTTGATCCGGAAAAATCCGGGTTCGGGTCAACCAGGACCCGAAACGGGTCGGGTTCGGGTTCAACAAATCAACCCATTTTAAAAACCGGGTCGGATTCGGATTAACCCAGCAACCCGAATTGACACGAAAACTCGTATTTGATCTCAAAATCCGAGTTTGACCCATTTTTTTACCCCAAAATCGAAGATTGACCCGATTTTTGACCCGAGAACTAGAAATTTTGGGTCAAACCTGGGTCATTCGTGTCGGGTCGGGTTCAGGTCCGAAAACCTGATCCATTTTTAAAAATAGGTCGGGTTCGAGTTAACCTGAATAGTGCTGGGTCAATTCCGAGTTCGACCTGAACCCGACCCATTGATCCGAATTGACACCCCTAAAGTGGAGGTAGGGAAAGAATAAGTGAGTTCACACAGGAATCATATCCATTGTTGGGATAGTGATTATGATTAAACAGCTTATTTAAACCTTCCAGCTTAGTTAAAGAGCTTATTTGAGGAATAAAGAATCCCCCAACTTTTTATAGTTTTTCAGCTTTCTGAAAGTCTGTTGCATTTGAAAGCCACATGATTAAGATCTTTTTCTTGATGACATCACTTATTACAATTAATCATTAGTATCAGAAAGTCTTCTCCTTTGTAGCTAAGAGTTAATCAATTAGAATCTAGATCACTGTTTAAGGGAAGTGATATTCATCTTAAGGGAAATCGTATAATTGCTTCTATTCTACAATATTATGGCAGTTATAATCGCTGCTCTAATCTGCACTTCAACAGATCTACCCAATGATTTAAAGCTGTCATGAAAGATCTTTGCAGCGGATTACAATCACAACGGTTTTGTAACGATTTTAGAATCACCGCAAGTAATTTAGTGGCGGTTAAAACTATTGAAAAAGTCTAAAATTAGTGCTGCGGTAATTCTTTTATAGTGATGACAGCCTAAAAAATAAAATAATAGAAAAATTGTCACACTAGAAAAATTACTTTAAAAAATAATAAGAAAATTATCGCAAACGAATACTTAGAGAGAGGTCTAAGACTCCCTCTTCTCTCTCAACGATATTCCTATTTAGGGGGTTTATGTGATCCAGTTGTGACTAATTCTTTAAAAAAATTTTGAATCAATTCTAAATAATAATAATAATCACAATCAAAACAAGGATATATAATAAAATTCTTGTTAATATCTTCTTACAGTTAAAATATCATTATTGCGATCTCCTTCGATTTAAATAATTTTAAACGTCGATTTTTTATTTTTATATGTTAGAATTAATCATTCTCTGATGGGTATAAAATTGTAAATGAATATTTATCACATCAAAGAGTGAGAGAGATAGAGTTCTCATCAACTGCTCTGCATACAGGCTCTTGATCATTGTGAATTAAGCTAAACGATAATATTTAAGTAATTTAAAATGATTAAAAAAACATGGCACAAACGTGCACACATAATTTTATTCGGGTAACCATTTTAATATTTTTCATGAAATAAAAAATGTATCAGAAGAGAAAAAACTTTCGCTGTCATAAATAGAGTATGATATATATATGGTGTTGATATCTGAACTGCTCAATTACTGTGCACACAGATACCTGATTTCATTTCATTTATTTTAGTTTTATTATCTACTGAAATATTCATTGTGATAAGAAAATATTATTTAATATTGTTACGGGCTAGAATATACGCAGCAGTAGAGTAAAAAATATAGTATCTTAGCAATATAAGTATATTCATCATACCAATAGATAGTTGAGAGAAAGAAACAACAAAACTTTTTTACATGGAAAATAAAAAAAGGAAAAAATTATGGGGCCTGACCCAGATGAGAAAATTCTACTAAGTTTGGGTTGATTACAAAGTTTAATTCACTTCTTTACTTGGAGATGTTGGAATTAGAACACGTGGAATAATCAAATGGAAATATGGCGATGATTGATGAACTCATGAACCAGCGGAAGGAAGGCAGTGGTTGAGAAGAACTTCAGCGATTATCAGGAAGAAACTCCGGCAGTGGACGAGAAGACAACTCTGATGATGGTTGGGAGGAAACTTCGACACTGGTTTGGAAGAACTCCGGCATCGGTTAGGAAGAAAACTCCAACAACGGTTGGGAGGAACTTCTGCGGTGGTCGGGAGGAACTGCGGCGATGGTTGGTAAGAACTCCGGCGGTGGTCGGTGGCAAGAGAGCTCCCAAACTCATCCCTTATTTTTCTTCTTATCCTCCCTCTAATAAGAAGAGTGGAAGCTATTTATAATTTTTTGAGAGTGACATGACTTATAAATATGTGGATGATCAAAATCAAAATGAGAGCGGTTTGAATTGACGACCAATATTGATCCCCTTAATCGTGGACCATTTAATAGTCATTTGAATGCCTTAATGATATCGGAGTTCATTGATCTTGAGCTCATTGGATTTGTCTCTTCGAGCCGCTCGATTTGACCATAAGCATTGATACATTTGAAGTTTGTTTGGTATTCCAAATTAAGCTTTGAATAGTTTAAATATGCTTTGAACCCTTGATTTAGCCTCATTTGGGCTCGGATCTAGCTAGTTTTGGTGTCAATGGGTTTGTTTTTTCAAGACATTCAGTTTGACTATAAGTTTGCTGTAATCGGAATTCGGATGATCCAAAATTTAATTTGGGAAGCTTGCAACTCAATTTTGATTCGAGATTTGTGCCTGACCAAGATAATTTTTTGATGAAATATTAAACGAAAATTTCGTGAACATACATAAGTTAACATCTCTTAAGAGATTGAAATTTTTTTCATAACATTTTTTAATAGAATTATAAGATATTATTCAGTTGAAAGATATTAATATAATATAATAAATAAGAATAAAAATAAATAAATATCATCTTGTGAAAGCGTTGGGATGTCTGCTTATTCATCACATGGTTGTAATAAATGATTAACTTGAAATGGAAATCATTAGTAGGAAGGCCGTCGGAAAATTCTGCGCCATTATTCATATAATATAATAAATAAGAATAAAAAAAATAAATATCATCTTGTGAAAGAGTTGGGACGTCTGATTATTCATCCGATGGTTGTAATAAATGATTAACTTGAAATGGAAATCATTAGTGGGAAGGCCATCAGAAAATTCTGCGTCATTATTTGCAAAAATTTGTCAGTATTTCTCTTATGGAAATTCAGCCAAAATTTTTGTCGAATATAAGTGGGCTTTAGAAGTCTATAGGAGAGGAGATTTGAAAAGGAAGACATGCTTCAAATAATGAGTGAGCATCAGAAGTCCATCTTTGGGATGAACTGGGTGAACATCAGAGATCAACCGACATTTGGAGATATCCCTCAATTGTTCTAGGTATAGATCAGGTGAGCGCCAAGTAGAGCTGTCAACATTTGACCCGATCTGAAAACCCGATTCGAACCTGATCCGAAAATTTCGGGTTTGGGTCAACCCAGTTCAATTTTAGGCGATGGAGAGTGCAAACATGGATATGATCAATAGTGAGCATCAACATTGGTCACTGACATGCATTGACGTTGACTGACTACTAATGTATGGAGGATTTGATGGTGAGTATTGTTATTAACTGATAGGTGACATTAGGTTTCGATGAGCATAATTTTGCTATTTATTTAGAGGTGTCAATAATCAACGTTATTGTTAATCGATAGAAAACGATTAGTTTTAACGGGCATAGCTCAAAATTTTTTCAGTGATAGAATTCTTTTTATTAAAAGTCCTCGCATGAATCCTCTTTAATGTGTGAAATCAAGATCTATCTATATATTTTTGGTTGGACATTCTCGATATTTCTGTTAGACATCAGAACACTCAATTATAACATCAAGAGTTAGTCCCCATTGTTCATTTATTATATTTTTTTTAATGTCTTAGAAACTCAATGAGCTCATAATGGAGTGATGATGGGCTCGTTGGATTAACTTGTCGAAAGTTTTGTTTCAATTATAACCCTAAAGAACTTGGTGGGTGGTCCTTTGAAAGGTATGATGAGGGTTCTAATTTTGTCTAGACAAAGCGCTTTTAGTACAAATGGGTTTATCTTATCAAGTCATTTTGTCTAGACTATAAGTTCACAAAATAGAGTTTAGGTGATATTGTAGTTGATTTTGAAAAGCTCTAATTTAAATACTTTTATGCTTTAATATCTAAAAATTACATCAAAATATGTGTTTTATCAGATTTTTTTTTGACATATTAGTTGTGTAAATATTTTTCAAAAAAAAAAAAAAAGTCCAAAAATAATTTAGGTATTGAAATATTTTTTAAAATGCAAAATCATAATTTTGAGAGAATTATATGGTGAGATGATTTTCAAAAAGTCAACTTTGACCTCTCATCATGTCTTTATTCCAATAATTTTCTCGCAATCACAATTCAACTGATTATTGAGTTACCTTGCCCTTTAGAACAAAAATTGTTTTTTTTTTTTTTTGAAATTAGCTATTAATTTTATGGCTCAAAATTGCCTCTAGTGTCTCGGTTAAAATCCAAAAAATTTAGCAGATCAATCATAAAAAATATTTCTCATATATATATACATCCAACTAAAATTATGATAACTTTCCAAATAATAAAATAATTAAAAAAAAAGCTTTAAAGGGTCCCTTAAATTTGCCAGAAAACCAAAACAAAAATGGATTCTAAATGGAGTATAAAAAAAAATTAATCTTTTATTTTTTAAGATCTGCAAAAATATATGCACATATGTATTTTGATAAAAATAATAAAAATTATTTTAGAATGATTATAAAATTATAAAGTATCTGTTCATTAGATAAGCCGAACCGGCTAGAGGCGGCAGAGGGGAACGCCGGCGGGGAAGAGAGGCAATCGAGCTGCCGGAGGAAAAGTAACTGGCGGATCTCTGAGAGGCGGCGGCATAGAGCGGCGGATTCCGATTTTAACTGCTCGTTCTCTCGGCGGACGAGGACGCAGCGGCCGGAGATGGATGCGATCCTTTCAGCCACTGCAATGTTCTCTAGCCGGAGACGGCCGACCCGGCTCCGGAGGTCTTCTAGGTGCCTCTGCTTCCGCATGCGAGACCGGCGGGCCGACTCACGGTTCGATATCATTCGCCGGAGACGGCGGCCGTCGGCGGAGGATAAGGTCGTAAAGTTAATAGTAGTGGTGGCGGCGGTGGTGGTGGAGCAGTCCATCTCGGTAGTAAGTAAGGAGGGAAGGGGAGAGGAGGCGGGGAGAGGGGAGGGGTATATATCATGGAATTGGTATGTTAGGTAAGAGTAGTTTAAATTTTCTTTTATTAATTTAATTGTTATTTTTTATGATATAATATAATATGAAAAATTCAAAGATAAAAATACCATCTTATTTCAAATTTTATATTATTGTACTATTTATTACATTGGTTCTTTCAAAAAAAAGTTTTTGACTTTTTAGAGTTAACATTCCAATTTTCTTTTGATTAATAGTTTTTGTCAGAATATATTTATTTTTTATCTTATTTTAATAAGAATACTGGTCTCATATGAGAAAAATAATAGAGCAGTAGGGTGTGGCCTCATGAAAAAATTATTATGCGCGGGTTCGAATTCATCCGGAGACGAATAAAAATGTGACACGTTATTCAAAAAAATGTATCGCGCTCGGGCCAAACCGGATGGTTCTCCTGCTAGGTATCCGGACAGAATAATCTCCCAGCCTCATGAGGCCATTGGAGAGTAAAAGCATTATAAATGTTATTGAGAGAAAAAAAAAAAAGAGAAATAGGAGGAACCAGTCACAAAAATATTATTTATTAAAAAAATTAGAATATTAAAAAAATTAGAATTTTAAAATTTTATTGATAAGACTTTTAGTATGCAAATTTTAGGGATCAAAGTAATGAAAAATTATTAGGTGCGGAGTGCAGACGGGAAGAGCACCGTCTGCACACACACAAAAAAAAAAGAGAAATAGGAGGAACCAATCACATAAAATATTATTTATTAAAAAAATTTAGAATATTAAGATTTTATTGATAAGACTTTTAGTATGCAAATTTTTAGGGATCAAAGTAATAGCTAAGTACTTCATATGGTTGGGAAGCTCGGACGTAAGACAAGAAATATTTAATCATCCTAATAAAGAAAGGATCAGTGTCCTTGAGAAGACATATTATTATGTGCGGAGACGTATGATTTTGTCTTTGTGAACAGTAAATGCACAATGGTGATCAGTAAAAACATAGTGATAAACAATAACTATGTTTTTACTGTTCACAGAGACAAAATCATATAGCTCCCTATATCCGATCTTCGCATGTAATAATCTCTCGCTTAAATAACTTCCTATCTAAAAAAAGACCAATGTAATCATGCTCAAAAAGGGTGTGATCACCCCATTTAAATTAGAAGAGAAGTGAGATATTGCTTCAAAAGCAATGTCATCTTAAAAGATAGAGTAAGATACCAAAGTGCAAGAGAGCTCTTTAATATAATTATATATGCTTACCCTATGTTTACTTTTTTGGGCAAAGGAATTCTATGTTTTTTTCACCCTTAAAAGCGATGAACATTTAATTCTTTGATTGATTCAACTATTTTCACAAATATTGTCTTTAGGTAAGGAGTTTTTAGCATCCATGGCTTTACAAAGAAGCACACCATTAAGGGGTTGACAAGCTCTCGATAATTTTATTTCAATTTGCTTTAAAAGAAGAGATAGTATTAGATATATTTGAGTAAGGTTTCAATTGGATGCCTTCAAAGCAAGTTTGACATTATTGAGCTTATTACGAAATCAAAATAAAGGATCCCCAACTAAAATTAGGCAGAAGTGATTAGGGTTGTCAAAATCGTGTTGCGGGTCGGGTTCGGGGTTGAACTCGGAACTGACCTGACTCTATTTGACAGGACCCGAACCCGGCCCATTTTTGCGGGTCTGGGTTCGGGGTCGAACATGGACCTAACCCGCGGAGGAGGAAGGAATGTCGTCGACCCTACAGGAAGGAGCGTCGTCGAAGGAGGTGAACGTCGTTGAAGGAATGTCGTCGAAGAAGGTGAATGTTGTCGAAGGAGGAAGGGATGTCGTCGAAGGAGGTGAATGTCGTTGAAGGAGAAAGGAATGTCGTCGAAGGAGGTGAATGTCATCGAATGAGGAACCGAGGATGGCAGAAGCGCGGCTAGGGCTCATGGGCAAAAGCTTATTCGCTTATACGTCGGGTGAAGCGGGTCAAAATCAGGTTCAAACCGGGTTTCCTGGTTGACTCGAACCTAACCCAAAATTCAAAATGAGTAAAAAATCAGGACTTCAACCTGACCCGTTCTTAAATCAGGTTGACCATAACATGAAAAATTCAGGTTTTATTCGAGAAGGGCTTTCGTGTCGTGTCAATTTTTGACACCTCTAGTTGAGATAATCTAAAAGTATTAGAGAGATGATGCCAATAGTTATTCCACATAAGCCTACACCTTAGCATAATAAAATTCTTCATTTGAAGTAGAATTAGAAAATGGTAGGAGGACAAAAGACCCATAAAGTTGAACCCAATAATGGATTAATTATTCAGCCAATAATCATTACAAAAGCCTTGTTAAGAAGACTTAATAAGATGCATACTTTGATGATTGGACTCCTTGAATTATAAAACAGTGTGGGGGACCTCAAACTAACCAACCACAGAACCACCTTGTAGGATATAATGGAATTGTCGCCAACTTTTTAATCTTTATATCTAATGCATCCAAAGTCTGTTAAAATAAATTGTGGGTCATAGAAAGAAAGAGCAATATTGATAATTTGTTGCCACATGACTTTTCCCTCAAAAGCCCCATTTTTGGTATATATAAAAGCAAGCAAAATTTTAATATAAGGGGAGAAACCAAACAGTAATGCAAAAAATATGTGTGGGCAGCAAGCATAATTATTATGTGCGGAGACCGAACGTAGAATGTTGTCTGAATACCAACTAGAATGCATCACATCAGCGGTACAAAGCATAGGGGTGAGATGACAAATTTTGATTGACTTCCGGACAACGTTCTGCATCCGCACAGAATAATTAATTCATTGAAAGAGATGTAAAAATTCTTGCTACTTTCCTTAGAAAGGAAAAACTTTAAAATGTTTGGCAATTAAATCAGCATCCTTGATATCAAAAGAGAAATTGTTCTCAAAAAGACATAAAATATCAATTTTGAAAAATTTGACTAAATTTCTTAAATCACCGATAAGATTAGTACTACTAAAAACCCTAACATTATATGTAATATTGGTTAAAAAGATCATAAGTTATTGAGAGATGATGGAGGACACCATTTTTCCATCTAATTTTTCTATTCTTCAAAGTGGATGATATAACATTCTTGAGTGATAGTGATCCTTCAAAAAATGAGGTGGAGATAAGATTCACAATAGAAGGAAGTTTAAGGATGCCTAGCAAGTGATTATGATAGAGCTATTGGGTAAGGTTTGAGAAGTGAGAGTTAGGATTCGTTTGAGACAGCTTTCATACTGCTTTCTAAAACTTTCTATTACAAAAATTTCAAATTCAAGAAATTTTTACACTAAAAAGTTGTTTTAAAAAACAAGAAGAAATTCATCCCAAACGAAGCCTTAGTTCATTATTATTTTAATAAAAAATAATTTTAGGATGAAAATATTAAAATATTAAATATGTGATGCAAAAATTAAAATATGATGACACATAAAAAAGAGCAATGATTGTTGAATTGAATGAATCCATTTTAGGGTGGCTATGCCCCTAAAGAAACTCCTCCAAATTTGCTTATACTTTTACGATGTTGCTGAAAAGCTATTTAATTCAATAAAAAAGAATTTTATTTTAATTATATATTTCAATACATTTAATTCATATTTAATCAAATTTATGTATTTTTAAAATTTACAGACATCAGTAATTCTATATTTTCCAAATAAATTAATTTTAATATCATTAGGCCAAACACCCCCACATATCACATCATTATTTAATTAAGTTAAAAAAATTATCTTTAATTCAAAATTTTGGATGATCTCTAGAGAAAATTAATTTAAATAAATATAATTTTACTTTTTCGAACTAATCTTGGAGGATTGGTTGGTGGGGACTCTGCGATTCGCCGGCTTTGAGATTCGATAAAAGTTCGTAAAAATTCGAAAACTCATACTGCATCGAAAAATACAAATGAATAAATCAAATTGAGATTTTTTATTCTTCTTAATATCATTTAATTTCACATTTAAAGAAAATTTTTAAAATTTTAAAAATTATATGTAATTATTTTTTATTATATATTTAAGAATTTTAAAAATTATTATAAATATTTTTTTATTTGAATATTTTATACAATTTTTTTTCCAACACTCATAAAAGAATATGCATACATTGTTATAACTAAAAAATACAAGTTGTTTAGTCCCACATCGCCTAAGAACTTTATGTTTTATTTACAGACCAAGTCACATAGTGAACCATCTCAAAATAATAATAATAATAATTTATAATAAAACCTTACAAAACCACGTTCTCATTATCCAGATTCAGAAGGCCGGCATTGTATAGGCTTTTTCCACCCGAAATGGCTTCTTTTACAGTTAGCAGCTTAGCATATAGCCACCAATTCTGTCAGCGTGGGCCAATACAAAGTCGCTTTGCAAGACAAAATTAGATTTAGTAGTGCGGCAAATTAAAGTCGCCAGCTTATATTTGCTACAGTTCTGTATGTAGGACAGCAAATGGGTTGGGTTAGTCAATTTTTCATTTGAGTCCAAGCCTGAATATGTAATTCATCGACATTTGGACTAAAGATTTTCTTCTTTTGTTCATTAAAAGCCTGACTTGGCCAACTCAAAATTCATTTGAATTTCATTTTCAAGACGACCATATTGCAAGTTTGCAACTAAGGTTTCATTTGGAATAAATTTTTTTAAACAACCTTCTAGTAAAAAATTTCCTAGAAATTAATGAAAAAATAGCGGTGAGAAGCCATTCCAAACGAAGCAAAAAACAATAGTGCTCAATCTTGTATTTGCTCTTTTACACCACATATAATGGTTGAATAATAATTTTGCAAGGACCATCCCACCAAAATACATAAAACTCAAGAAAAACAAATCTTTACCATAGCCACGATGAAGCTCAGCAGGCTTAGCGTAGAAGATGAAGTTGCTTCGTTCGAAAAATACAACCTGCAACTTCTCCTTGTGGAAGATGGAC